TTCCTCTCCTCACTAACCCATGCAGTCAAGGAATGCTGCCCTCCCTTCAGGAAACCCACTTCTGGCTAGGACCACACTTGTAGAATTCCCAAAATTCTGCTTGCACAACAACAACACAGCAAGAGCCACCACCTCACACTTGAGAGCACTTCCTCCAACATGCATCCCCCTCCCCCGTCATCTCACATGGCCCTCCCACGCCCCATGGGGCAAAGCAGGGCAGTCTTGAACTCTTTCTAGACACAGAAGCAAAGGCTTGGAGCAGAGCCCAGTTCAGAGGCCTGATGTCTCTAAGTCTTTTCTATTAGGACATTTTGTGTGTCACCTCAAATCTTAACAATAATGACATGGGTCCACTAAGGCTAACAACTACTCTGCGGCCTTCAGAATTTACACAGGGCTTCCACATAGCCCACTTAATTTCTACAACCAAAGTATGACTGATTTTCTGTCCAATTTACAGATGAGTAAACTGAGATGAGGAAATATTTAGGGAAATTCCTGTGTCCCACAAAGGCAGGAAGACCGCCTACAGGATTTGTGTGATCTTGCTTTCTAGGAGGAGGGGGGCTCACCTATGCTGCCTTTCCAGGTCTTCTCTTCCTTCTTCTCTTCCGCCAGCTGGTTGCTGGTAAGTGAGGTCTGGCGGGAGTGTGCCCCAGAGGCCGCCGCAATGGACGGGACAGAGCGGGCTGGCCGAAGGCTGGAGGAGTCAGTCTTCCCAGCATCCTTACGGGATCGCTGCTGAAGGACTTTAATCATGGCATCCTTCTCGATGATTTTGGCATGGAGATTCTTAATACTGTGAAACAAAACAAAACAGTCTTAATAAAGTTTATTTAGTTAGAAAAAACCTGAAACATATTTCTCAGGTTGTCCTGGAGACTTCAACTGAAACTCAGGGTGGAGGGTCAAGTACAGTACAAGCCTTCAAATATTCAGAATTTTCAAATTGCATAAGGTGGGTCTTTTGTAGTAGGTCAAAAGGGCATACCTTCTCTGACACCTCAAGAGAGTGGGACTTGCGGGAGGTGTGGTGAGAATGACCATGGCCACCTGCTAGAGACTCTCTGGACCAATGTGCTTGGGACCACATTCAGCAGGTCTAGTATGGGAAGCAACGGAGGAACCCAGAAACTAAGGCTCAAACGGGTGAGCTTCTTTACATTCTAAGGGGAAAATGAAGATACGGAAAAAGGTTCTTTTCCCTCATGGATAGCCCAGAGTGGGAACCAGAAAAATACCTGAGTTCTTTTCACAACTCTGATAGTGACTACTGATGGCTCAACCATGCAACCCTATTTTCACATCTCCACAGGTCCTCAGGTGGTCAAGTGGGGCAGGCCAGTTTTATAATGTTAAAAAGCCCGCAGGTAATCTTGTGCAGCCCCACAGAGAATGAGTTAACCAAGTTCCTTATCATTGGCTAGAATATGTAAACTTTGGCTCAAAAACCTCTGGATCTTTGGAATAAAATTGGTTTCTCCTTTCCAGCCCATCATGTCTGGAAGGTAAAAGAGATGTACACCCAGAAATAACACAGGCATCTAAATTCTCCCTTCATTACACTCGGCCTCCATCCTAAAGCCTGCACTGACTTGCAGCAATGCCCCCAAAAGCACCAACACCAGTCCTCCTGCTAAGTGAAGCCACCTACTTAGGTGTGAACCTTTCCCTTCTCTCCAGGGCAGGTGAACGTCTTTGGAGACCTCAAGCTCACAGCATTCAGAACAGGCCAGAGAAGCAATCCTCTCTGAAAGGGCTACAATGGGGGTGCTATAGCAGCTGATGGTCCCACTTGGGTGAAGTGCAAGCTGTCAGAGTGGTGCCCAAGGGTTCCATTGCACACGAGGTCCCTTACGTGTACTCCATGTCCTGACACCTCCTGTTGGCCTGCACCACTTCCTCCTCCTCCTGCCAGATGTGGGCCTCCAGTGAGCTCTCGCCATAGCTGCCGTTCCTTGAGTGGTTGATGATGGTGGTGTCCCTGGGAACACAGGACATGCACTGGATCACAGGAGCCTTCTTGCTTATTTTCAACACAGACACAGAATGGACAAGCTGGTGTTCACGTTGGAACAGAGATTTTCTCTTTACCTTCACCTGGACCTTAAAAGCCTCCTGTCTCCACTTCCTCACTCATATAGCAATCTCATCAAATCCAACAAAATATGCAAATGCTCATGAACAGGCAACCAAAGGGTGCACGCTAACAAAATCCACAAACTCCTTCACCCAGTTTTCCTTTCTTAAATCCCGGCCAGTTCGCCTCCTGAACTCGAAAGAAGTAAGAAAGTGTCTAGGGAAAGCAAAATAGAATTCAACATCAAATTTGTCTGACCCTTCTACTAAGAACTTTGCATATTAATCTATGTGGTAGGTTATAAATATATAGATGGGACACGTATGAATTTCATCTACTGGCACGGGGATATTTTATCATTATATTTACTGGTGTTTCTATGTTTGGACTTTTCATACTCATCTCAATCTTCCAATCAGAGTTAAAGTTCCACCTGTATGTATCATCTACACAACAGTATTTCGGTGTTTTACAGTAAAAGCAAAAGGATTCAGTAATGGATAGATGCTGAGATTGATCTTCTTGGGCAGAGAGGCCCCATACTGAATTCTCTCTTTCTGTCTCTATGCTGCTTCCCTTCTTGTTTTATGGGCTCTTGCCTAGGATTCAGGTCAGTTCAAAGTAACAAATATACAGGGTACCAGGGAAGAAAGATGAAGATGAAAGACACATGGTACTGAAAGTTCAGTTGAGGTGGGCAGAGAGAACACAAGGACAAGATGTAGGTAAATGAAAAAGCAGTTTATCTGAAAGCAGGTGTCTGCAAAGAGCCGGTCAAAGATAACTATTCCTGGGCTGGGGTTGTGGCTCAGTGGTAGGGCACTTGCCTAGCATGTGTGAGGCACTGGGCTTGATTCTCAGCACTGTAAATAAATAAATAAATAAATAAATAAAGGTCCATTGACAATTAAAAAAAATTTTTTTCAAATGATAACTATTCCTACCACTAATTTTGTTAATTTAATCTCTCCAAATTAAGTGATAAGCAAAAATATAATGAGTCATTTTTGTGATATATCTTAAGATACACAATAATGCCTGATTATGTGAATGCTAAATTCATAAGAAACAATCCAACTAAATATTTCACATCTCTTTAACTTCATATTCCAAGGCTACAATCATATTGAAAACCTTAAAGCTTTTTCTAGATTATCCAAAAACAGCAAGACAACAACAAAATAATAACAACAACAACAACAAAACAGAGGCCCCTTTTTCACAGGAGCTATCAATGAATGAGCATTATTTCATGCAGGACTGGGCAGAGCATGGTACACGTGGTCTCTCTCATGTAGTTCTTATAATGTGTGTAGCAGGTATTAGTCCCAATGTACAGATGAAACCAGGGCCAGATGACTTTTCCAAAAACACTCAATTAGTGAATGGTGGACATTGATTCAAATTCAGAGAGTAATAACTCCCATGTCCATGTCCATTCTACTACACTTCTGGAAATTTCATTTGCCTTTATGAAGCAGGCTTCAGCAAAGATACACATAAAGAGGGCACATATGTAAATGTGCCTCAAAAAAATGCAAACTATGACTGAAAATATATCATACAAGCAAATAATAAGGCAAAAATGTTTTAAACATACTTACAAAGTTATAAAATCACTCTACAGTGCACAAAATTCATCAATATAGGAATTAGCGACTAGAAACATTTTCAACCAATTGACTTTTGGAGAACTCACATAGAACCACAAATTTAAAAATTCATGCTTATACTGACAAGTAAGGACAGCAGGCACAATTAGATGAAAACAACATTGAAGGTAAATAATGCATTGCTTTGAAATTCATAAAAAGTTTCAAAACCTTCTCCACATGTGGAAAATAAGTTAAGCCATTAACAATCCTGATCAGTGGCAGCAAGATGCATAAAGATGACAAAATCAGTTGGTTTATAAAAATTATATTCTTTGTTTAAAGATCAATGTAAATAAATGTAACCCAAGTACCAGTGGCTGAAAAGCCACAAAACTAATAAATTTTACCAATTTAACTGTAACAATTCAGCAACTAGACGTGAGCTTAGAATTTCAACCTTTCTCAAAATGCTTTATTTTTCTCCCCACCCCACTGCACCACCTTGTTATCAACAGAAAGGCAACACTGACATTTCAGAGATTTTCTATGAAAAGAACATTAAAACTGGAGTAAATATCTGCACATCTCTGAATCCAGCCCCCTCACCCTTGTTCTGGCTGTGGGAAGGGGTAGGCTACAAAGGGGAGGGCAGTTTCCCACAGAATTATCAGATGCTTGAAGAGGATATGTGGAAATAAACAATGGGGAGGAGAAAGGAGGGATGGTTGAAAGGGACTCCAATCCTCCATTTAGGTCTCTAAACAGGGCAAAGAACAAAAAAACTGGGAAAAATCCCACAGAACTATCATTCTCTGAGATAAGAGCCATTTCCTCCTGTATGAAGGCTAGTGAACAACTCTGGGCCTAGAATCTGTGAGAGGGTCTGTGTGGTTCTTCTTATGCACTCCTCCCTGTGCCCATCACAGGGTCTATTTATCCACCACTTCTGATTGTATGGTCCAGTTCCAATCATCCCCTTAGGACCCAAGATCCCAAACAGACTCTAATCTGAAAAATTAATAGAAGTTGAAACAATAATAATACATGAAGGGCCCTTTGTCATCTCTCCAGGGTGACACAGATACACTGCTATGGGCACTTTAACATCCTCAGTTAGAGGAATGTGTTCCCTGCTCTTAACCAGTCCAGAATTATAATTTCCATTTCACACATGAGATCAGAAACCCTCAAAAGGCTTGTCCCAGATCTTATACCCTCAATCAGCAATAAATGGAAAGGTCTTGAATGCAGATCTCCTGCCTCCCTGTGCAGAAATCTTTCCTCTTAAACCCACACAGAGAAAGCAAACTCCTAGGGACATCATTGACAGTGATACATGTGTTTTTTTTGTTTTGTTTTTTTTAAAGGCTAAATTTGGGCTAAGGTTATGGCTCAGTGGTAGAGTGTTTGCCTAGGCACTGGGTTTGATTCTCAGGACCTCATATAAATAAATAAAATAAAGGTCCATCAACAACTAAAAAATTATTTTTTAAAAAAGGCCATATTTCTAACTGTATGATGTTCTGCTCTCATACCTAGGACAGAAAGGTAGTTACCAGCTTAAAAGAAAAAAAAAGAAAGAAAGAAAGCTGGGGGCTGGGGGTTGTGGCTCAGCAATAAAGTGCTCACCTAGCATGTGTGAGGCCCTGGGTTTGATCCTCAGCACCACATAAAAATAAATAAATTAATTAAAAATTTCAAAAAGGTTAATAAAAAACCCCAAACCCCAAAAAGCTGAAAATAAAAATCTTCCAATTATGTAAAAATCAACAAATGTTTCGGAGGGCTTCACTATTGCCACCTATAGAGTACGGAGACTGGGCTGGAAAACATAACTTCCCTCCAACTTTCACCCCACAACTTTGGAGCATTCATATCTTCTCAGGTTGTCTATTTCCACTCCCAGAGTCTCACTTGGATGAACACTCTAGGTGGTTTTCCCTCAAAGCAAGGACATACAGAAGCAACATATACATGGTAGAAAATGATTTCAAAGTGGTCATTTTCCACGAGTCTGCAGGTTTTCCCAGGTGCAGAATGCTGGGGAGCCCAGTAGAGACACCTAGCCCATGAGATGGCAATCTTTGCTTTCTCTGCTTTCTCCAGTCCCAGGAGCTAACATCTGAGCATGCTACCAGGGATATTTCTTTACTTATTGATGAATCTGAGAGCCCATAAACAGCGTATATAAAATAACCCCTCCATCGACACAGGCTTTTCTATACTCATAAGAGAAGAAATAAGTTTTTATCTCAATGCAATGAGGAGCTGACTACATAACTGGCTTGTACCATTCCAAGCAGAACAATAGCTCTCATTTTCTAAGAGGTCTGGTTTTCTGAATGTTGCTTTGAGATTGAAGGTTCCCCTCCAAATGTACTGACCCTACATCTTGGTGAACTAAATTAAATGCCCAATATGACTTCTGGGAAAAAAGTAAACTGAGTGAAAGGTAGTGAAGGGCCTGACCAGCCCAAGCAAAGCCTCTCAGTATGGGCAGTCATTAGGACTGCAGCTAAGGCACAGCAGTCCAAGAGCAATGGGCACTACCTTGCTCATTTGGTGAACAGTCTTTGTGAGTGGTTTTTGTGGATTATGGCATATTTTGAGCTAATTTTAAAGGAAGAAAAAGACTTCATACCTACAGAGAGAAAGTAAAACAACAGAGGTAAACACTGAACAGCAGAAAAGGATTTTTGAACTACATGAATCAGGTTTTAGGTCAGAAAGATCTCCATGTGACCAAGGTCTTCTACTACCTACCAGCACAATATGGAACCCACCACTGGGCCTTTCGTAGCCTTGATCCTTCACTTGTAAAATGAGGATAGGAATACTACCTGCTCTCAGGGTCAACACGAGGATTATATGTTCTCCTCTGGCTCATGATACAGACCCAGTATTAAAAAGAATCACAAATATACTTTCCCAACATCATTCTTAAAGATCACATAGTATCCCAATGTGTGGGTGCACTTCATATTATTAAATTAATCTCTTCTTGTTGGAATCTAGGCTGTTTGAAATGGTGTTAGTATTTTCAGCCACACTGGGATAAACATCCTTGGACATGACTCTTTAGGCACTCATGTGATGATTTCCTTAAGACAAATGTCTAGATGAGAATTTTAAAACCACAGGAAAGGTACACATTGCCAAATTATCATCCAGGAATGTACACCATTTACTCTCCAATAGCACTGCAGCCTCTAAGAGATTATCTTTAGCTGAGCTTGCTGCCAGGGATGAGCCTCTGGACCACTTTGGATCCTGTTTGTTTTGTTCCCATGTTCTTCCCAGCGGTGCTCTTCTGATGGGCAGAGCGCCACTGTCTCACCTCTCAGCTGCAGCAGTGGCTGCAGCACTCATGGCAAAGTGACGGATGGTGCTCTCCTCCAGGTACTTCTGCTCCCACTTGGTCATGTCAGCCTCCAGGGCCAGGATCCGCTCCTCCTTCTCCCGCACGAGTTCCATGAGGGCCGGAGCATTGTATTCTGGCATGCTGGCTGGCTGGCCATTTCCATGTTTCTGGATAAGCAGAAATAACATTGTGGTGCTCAAAATGGGCTCACGGTCCTGGAGATCCTGCAGCAATTCACACACAACCCCATCATGCCCATGTTCCCTTCTCTCCAATGTGTACCGCCTGAACTCAGTGGATCCAAACACCATGCCACCTGTTATGGTTCAGATGTGAGGTGTCTCCCAAAAGCTCATGTGTGAGACAATGCAGGAAGGTTCCAAGGAGAAATGATTGGGTTGTAAGAGTCTTAACCCAATCAGTGATTTAATCCTCTGATAGGGATTAACTGAGTGGTAATTGAAGTGGTCGGATGTGGCTGGAGGAGGTGGGAATTAGAGTGTGGCTTTGGTGTATATATTTGTATCTAGAGAGTGGTGTCTCTCTGCTTCTTGATCACCATGATGTTAGTTGCTTCCCTCTGCCACACACTCTGCCATGATGCTTAGCCTCATCTCAAGCCCCAAGAAATAGAGCCAGCCTTCTATGGACTAAGACCTCTGAAACCATGAACCCTCAAATACACTCTTCCTCCTCTATAGTTGTGCTCCTCAGGTCCTTTGGCCACAGCAGCGAAAAAGCTGATTAACACACCACCTTACCTCCACAGTCCTCTATCTCATTTAACAGCTATACAATTCTGTAAAACAGACAATATCCCAATTGTACAGAGAGAATAAGCTTCTGAAAGGTTAAATTAATGGTAATGTTCTCTCAATCAGTAGTAGAATTGGGATTCAAACTGGAGTCTGGCTCCATAGCTCGGGGACTTTGCATGATAATAGTGGCCTGTCCAAGGCAATGCAGTCAACTTATACCAAATGCAAGAGCAGTGTCTAGGACACTTCTCCACAATTCAAGGAAGTGATTCCAGCTGATTGCTTCCCCTGGGGCCTGAAGACCAAAAGGAAATGCCAGAAAGCAGGAGTGAGGTGCCCAACATGCCTGCTGTCAGATGCCAGAGTCTCTGGCAGTGGAGGTATAAAGATTTGCCCCGCCAAAGGCCTGAGAATAAGAAGCAAATTAGATAAAGCATGTGAAAGCAAGTGATGTCTAATGCAAGACAAGGTCATTTTCTGGCCCTTTCTTTTCATCTGTGTTGGTAAGAGGAAATAAAGTGGCTGTTATCTGGACTGATCACATTTCAGATTTTGTCTTCTCTGAATTCAGGTATGCTATTTCCCTAAAAAGCATGACATGGGAGATGATGGGGTTTTCCAGGAAAGTCTAAACTCAAACCAGCAACAAAAATGGCACATCTCAGAGTCTCAGGTTTAGGTGCCCAGTCTGAACATGAGCCAGCTTCCTTTGCACTTGAGAGGAGAATGATTTCATCCCAGCTGTTGTACATCCTGGGACATGCATTCCCCTCGTGTTTTCCAGTGATCACAAATTTTAAATGTAGAGCTAGTTGCAAGGTGAGAGGTACTTAAATGTTTCACCGAGACCCACATAATGTTCTAGATTAAGAAAGGACTCAAATTACCTACAGCAGCAGCAGGGTATTGATCTGCACTGATGTCATCTAATCCTAGCAGAGAAGAAAACAAATGTGCCTATGGGATTTTCTATTCAGCTTTTAAAAATTCCAAATATAAATTATCCCAGAAAGAGGCAGCTTGTCAGGGACTGACATTTAAGTAAAAATACAATGAAAGGCACATACCTGTCCTCACCTGACCTGTACAGGAAATCACTGATCCCATCTGGCCAGGCACCCGGACTCAGGCAGGAGGACAGATGAATCAGTCCATCAGATGAGAAGCTCCTCTATTTTTAGAAATTTTCCAAGAAAGAGCTCCCACGGCCTCAGTAAGCTGCCATCTATGCTTGTCAGTTTCTATCTACATCTTTTCTGTTACCATCTCAGCTGGCTTGTTTTTGCAGAATCCTCTTGACCTCACATGAGATAATGACAAACTCTTCACAGGCCCCCTAATTTGGGTCATCAAGTTATGTAATTAATACACAAGTTTCAGCCTTCAAGAGTACAGAGAGCATGGGCTAATGAGTAAGTATGCTAGTTAGAAAATCAAAATGAGGGTCAGGCAGGACAGCTTCTGACACCCACTTACTTAGCTAGTCCACATATATGTACTGCATAAGTACCATGTGCCAGGGATACAACAGTGAACAACGCAGGCAAAATCTCTTGCCCTTGATGAGGTCACATCAAAGAATGTCTCAATGAGCTACATGACCTTGGGCTGGCCCCTTAACTTCCCTGGGTCTCATTTCTCAATTTCAGAACAATCCCACCTTCTCTCATAAGATCCAACAGGACTACTGTGGAAGAAGTGAAAATTACTTAGAGTTCTTTGTTTAAAAAAAAAAAAAGATGAAATTGAAAGCTCTTAAAATATATAAATTTTTCCCCTCCCTATTTTTAAAAAACTTATTTATCTTTCATCTCCCTCACAGTTTCTATTGATATTAAAGTACTATGTCACCTCCGTGGTAGAGGAAATATGACCTATAATGACAAGATCAGTTGAGTTTCTTTATAGGCTAGTCCTAACCTTTCTTTCTCGCCCTGACTCTTCAATCAGCCTTACTTCTGTTTGTCACTTTTTTTTCCCCCCTGAGTGGAAAAGTTGGGTAAGTGGAGAATTTGAGAGAGGATACCATGAATGCCCTAAGCCTTCAAATGACACTGAAGGTAATGATGCTAATATAAACGCAGCACTGAGAGTTTGCCTTTTCTAACCAATTGCTAAAGAAGCACTTTTGTGCAGATTTTCTCAATTGTTGTTAAAAGCATGAGCTAAGTATAATCAGTTTTCCTCACTTTATAGACAAGGTAGTCGAGGGGGCCAGGTGGACAGACTCAGCTGCATCCCAGTGTTAGTCTAAGGACAAAGCCCTTATGTAGGGTGTTGATCCAATAAGTACTCTAAGCCACTCTTCAGAATCATGTCCTGGGGAAAGTGGCCAGACAGAGTGGCTGGTCTTACCGCTTTGCTGAGGGTGGAGATGACCCCAGGCTTTGTTATAGTGTGACTTCAGCTTTGTTATAGTGTGATTTCTTAAGGGGTGGGATAAATGCCTGATTGCCACAGAGGGTGAAGGAGCAGGGTGTGGTGTGAGTGTGGAAGCTCTCCCAAGGCTGCCCATGTCCGAGTCAAGAAGGGGCAGGCATATGCTTGGCTGCGTGGGTGAGTGAGGAGGAGGAGATGGGAGAGGCCTGGGACACTCTTTCCTGGAAAGGTCACGATGCTCAGATGATCCTTGTGTTCCTGAGTGGGCTCCAAGTCATCCCTGCTGGGTGCCAGCAAAACTGCTCCACACTTGTCCAGGGGCTTCAGACCTGAGTGTGACCAGACTCTACCTTTTACAGCATCTGCCACATGGCACTGGAGCAAACTCAAGAATATTTGGTTGCATTATTTTGTAATATTTTTACCTTTTCTGGTTATATAATAATGTATACTCAATGGTAAAATTAGAAAATAAAGAACTATTAAAAGAAAAAAAAATAATGCATATCTTTTTAACAAGAGGGCAAAGGCAACAGGAAAATCTCAAGTATATTTCATATCACAGGGGATATAATCATACTTTCATTTTAAACAAATCAAACTGCAATATTCTTTATTGTGCAGATTTTCAAGAAATGTCAAGCATCCATATTCTGTTCAACTCTAAAGATTGTCTCCTCCTCTCTGGTCTCATGTCAGCCATACACAGCTGCAGATCTATCAGTTCCTGAAGACAACTGAAATGGCAAGCTGAGCCCTTTCCCTGGAGAACCTCGATTCTAACACTGGGGCCCTCTGAGGTGTGCCTAGTCTGTCAGTTGCCTCTGCATACGGAAGGAGGAGGACAGAGGAAAGAATGTGAGTGAGAGAGCATGAGTCTGCACGTGAGCAGTGAACTGTCCTCTGTGGCAATGATGGTATTTTTCACATAATTCCAGATTCACATTTCTTCTTGATCCATCACAAAGATAACAGAGTCTGGTTTCAGAGCACTCAAAAGAAGAGCCAAATTCAGTAACCAAACTGCAGGGTGTGGCTAGCACATTAACTGGGAAAGAACATTCTTTTTGACTCTAAATATTGAGATGTGCCCATTTTGTCAGCCAAAGACTTGCCAGGGTCTACTGTACTGGATACTAGAGAAGCCTGCCCTCATGTTGGGGAGGTTCGGATCTCAGTAACTGAACAACAAAGAACAGGCAAAGGGCTTAACTGATGACAGAATATGTGGCACAGGTTCTAAGTCTCAGAAGACCAGAGAAAGACCTACTCTTCCTTGCAAGCCATCAACCAGGCAAGGTGGTAGGAGGTCAGGGTGGGTTTCTGGATTTTCTGGGCAATCTAGGTAACACCTTCTTTTCCCAAGTGCACACACCCAGTGGAAACTGCATGGCCTGCCAGGCAAGAGGGTGGAGTGGGCCTGAGCTCATGCTTTCAAGTGTTTTCAAGTGTTTCAATCACAACCACTGTGCCCTATCCAGTAGATAATTCCACAGAGCCTGCCTTGCATTTCCCTGATATCCCAATACTCCCTTCATCAGCTCTACAAAGGGCTTTGTCCACCATGTTGGCAGAAGATAGACAAGCCTAGTGTCATCTGCAACCAGAAACCTTTGATGAACCTGGACTGGAGCTTTTTTGCAGACTTCTCTCTACTGAAGCACCCATGGACCATGAGCTGAATTGTTCTATTCAGCACTTACTCAGAGGTGAGTTCCAGTATCTCCTCTCTGTTGCCAGCAGAGAAGAGGCAGAAGGAATAGCTTATGGCCAGTACCACTTCCTAGGAGGGGTCTTGAACTCCTTCTCCTGAAGACTCGATGATCACCATGTTCTATGATTCTAACCCCTTACTAGTGGTTTCAGCTGTACCATGGATTCTGCTCCTACACCACACTAGCAGCCTTCAGCCTGGCCACCATCTGTGCTCTAGATGGTTCTGTCCCTGATCTTCTGTGTCACATTCACCTCCAACTTAAAAACCTCAGAGGTGTTGACTCTCTTTTAATTACAGGAATAAGACCAATCCCGCTAGTTGACCCAAGGCTTTCTGTGATGGAGCCATGCTCCTCACCGTGATCTCACTGGGCATTGCCTGCTCACAGCGGCACCAAAACCGCCTTAGACTTGCCATGATGTTTCACGACCCTCTCCTTCATATCCTCCTCTTCCTCTACTTCCACGTTATTGCCCCTGAATACCCTAAACCTTACCTTTCAAAGTCCAGCTCACATCTCCTCCTCTCTGAAGCCACTTAAAGGCAAATTCCATCCTCCCCCTAGACCCAAGTCAGTGACCCCTTTGTTCCTCTCTGTGTTCCTCCACAGTGAGTAGCCCACCTGACTCCCCCGCTGCACTCAGGGCAGACCGCAGTGGCTGGCTCACAGGGGGCCTCCATCCTCTGGACAAGAATCTAATTCACCTGCTGCTCAAGCCTGTCCCTCACCTGCTGGGTCCTCAGTGCATCCAGCTCTCTCTCCAGCCAGGTCCGCAGCCTGCGCTCCATCTGCTCTCTCTTCTCACATGCGGACTGCAGCTGGGTCAGAGCCTGTTGCAGCTTCTCAACTTTCTCCACATACGCTTGCTTCTCTCGCAGCTGAGTGCAGAAGAGCAAAGAAAGCACAGAATTGAGACCCGTCATTCTCAATGGTGAGGTGGGGGAAGGGTTGGACTACCTGGAGATCCTATTTAAACCACAGCTGTGTGCACATCTTCTTCCTGTCCCCCAGGGCTGCTGGTGACAGAAAAAGTTCACACAAAGGTCATCAGTTACACCTGGAGTGGCTAAGAAGTTTGAAATGGAAGACCCTCCAGGATACCTGCATTTGATAATTTGTTCAGTTTTGAGCTCAATGTTTGATCATTGCTTAAATTAATTATAGCAATGGAAATGAGGTTGAGAAAAAGTTTTTAATATCAAGAAGAAAGGCTTATTCTGTAATGTCAAAACTTGTATACAACATCATCACAACTGTTTGCCCATGAAAAAAGACTGGGAGGAAATATGTAAAGCATTAACCATGTTCATCTGTGTGTCAGAATAGAAATTTCTGTGTTTGAATATTCTGTATGGAAAGTAAAGACTTTATTATTTCATTACTTTTCTATAATATAAATTATTTTATAATGAGGGAAGTGTGTATGTATACATGCATGTATATCCATTTGAGTATAAACATTTTTTATTATAGATATTTATGGAGTAACTTTCACCTGAAGATTTCAGAGTCCTTTAGAGCTGAGAAGTTAACAGCTCTGAAGAGACAAGGAAGGGCATAACGAACACTCAACACAATGGCTGAGGAAATGGAAATTAAGGTTGAAATGATTTATGTCAACTTCACATCAGGCATGGACTTAGGATCATGACAACAACTTCAAAATTTTACCCTCAGACTTTGTTTTTTTCCATTTGGGAGTCTGGCTTGTGTTCATAAATCCAGGCACATTTTTAGATTTCTGGGAACTGGCTGATGCCAAAAATCAGGCTGAGGCATTTACTTGATCTGGTCTCAGGTGGGAGACACCAGATCCAATTTCCTGTCATTCTGCACCTGGGTGTGCTGATGCCCTGCAGACAACTCAATCCTGAGCTCCAGGAGAGACCAGGCTGAAAAGCTAGGATGTGTTAGTGACTTTGCAGCTTGCTTGTTTCTGACTGAGTGGGCAGCAGTGCTGTATGCTACACCTATACCCCGACCTCTTGGAAGTCACTGGAAGAAAATGGAGGCATTTCCAACCTTACAAAGAGGGACAGAAACTTGAAAGATTTTTCTACTTCTCTTTTGGGGGTTCAGTTCTTATCTGAACCCTTTCATTCATTGTGCTTTTGAACATCTCATTCAATTTAGTAGACTTCTGAGAACCTAATAAGCACTGTTTTTGTGCTTTTTAGAAGCCTCAGTGGATTCAATATTTTATGTACTGTTCATTTGTACATTTTCCACTACACACAGTTTCCTGAGTATGTAGTCAACAGAATACAAGCCAGCCCGAGATTTGTCTGTTTTGGTCCCTGCTGGCCAATGAGCAGTGTGTCCTAATGTGTATTTGTTGAATAAATGAATGAATATTATCCCTAAGCAACTGCAGGCATGAACTGTCTCCTTTGCTTTTTATCACCCTTAAATCTAGCAGGAATACATCATGATGAGAAGCATCTGCAACAGTGATGATAAGAGCCAACATTTTTAGAGCACTACCACATCAAGCATGGTGTGTTATGGAGTATCTCATTTAATCCTCCCAAAGGTAGTAGGAGGTACAGTCCTTTATTATCCCCATTTGAGAGATGAGAAAACCCAGTTCGAAGAAGCTGAGTGACCTGCACAAGGCCAAACAGTTGATATGTCCTGGGGCTCACATCTCACCTCCACACTTGGCTCTACAGTCTACTTTCAACCACCACAGTAAGCTAGTGTAGGCATGTGCACTGAATTAAGACCTTTCGAAAGAAACTTCAATAAGAACAAGCAGTGAGGCTGGAAGTTAGACACATGAGACGCCACTAAGCAAGGATGTTTCATAAAAACCATGACAAGAAGAAACCCTAATGGTGACTGTAAAGAGCCTGTCTTCAAGGATCCCACAGCCAGCTTTCACTTGAACAGTACAACAATTTAAAAAATTATGATTGTCCTCAGTTCCATACAGAAAGACAGAGCCACAGGAAGTGATTTCAGTGATGACAATAATAAGTCCAGGCCTCCCTTCCTCAGAACAGACCTCCTGTCCTTCAAGGGTTCAGGTCATTTTCTGTGGTGACAAGCGAAATACTCAGCTGCTGCTCAGGATGCTCCCGCTAATATTAGAATCACAGTCCCTACACCGGGTTTCTGAGGCTTCTACTGGGCAAGGCCCTTGTTTACCAAAATCCCTCCTCTCCAGCTGCATTCCCTTCAAGTATTGAGGTTTACGGGGACATCTGAGTTACCTGGTCCCAGGTAACATTTTCTGAAAGGAAAACTTTTTTTTTCTTTTTTTTCAACAACCCACAGTTGCACAGTTGTTGTTTGTATGCCAAAGCATCCAGCTAAGTACTGACGTAGACTGTTTCAGTTAAACCTCTTGCTGACACGGCACATTTGCCTCCCAGGAGGGAATCTGCTCAGGTCATCTCCACAGCACAGGGGTGCCTGTGTCCCCCAGGGAGCTGGATGGTGCGGGCACAGGCCCCTGGCTGCCTGGATGCACCTCCCTTCCTCTCTTGCCTTGACCTCACAGCCAGGCTCCTCTCTGGCTTGAACCTCAGAAATGGTTATTCTGACTGCTTAGTCAGGCTTAAAGGGAAAATGCACATCACAAAAGTTAAGCTGAAGGGTGATTTCATCAGACTCTATTAAATCCGGTGTTTGAGTGGGATCCAAATTTCCTGGACTAGGAGCAGGAGGTACTGTATGGGTCAAGACAACCTCTGGAAATTAGAAACACATCTACAGGATACCACCCCACACTACTCCACCAGAAGGCTTTTGCCTTTTTCTATGTAATCGGGAGCCTAAAGACACAGGGACTGAACTACTTTCCAAAAATCGTTAGTCCCTTCTCTGCACAGGCACCAGTGGTTTCCTGTCCTTATATTTATTGCCAGCTCTGGACACTTGCCTACCAGTGGGCTGCAGGCGGGGCCTAAGGCTGTGAGCTCTTTGCTGATGGTATTCATGTGTGCCTTTCATACTCTGCCTGGCTCTGGGGTGGATAAATGCTGCTTTTATTCATTTATATTTGGGAGGTTTCCCACATCCCTCCCCGGTCTCAACTTCTTGGATCTGGATCTGGTTAAAGTAAGCAGGGGTAGGAAAAGGAAGGGAAGGCCCTCAGGGCTCTGCCTCCCTCCTCCCTGACCCAATCACCCTCCAGCCTGGTCTCACCTCCTCTTCCAGCTTGATGACTCTGGCCTGGGCATTGCTCAAAGCCTGGTCCAGGATCTCAATGTGTCTCCGATGGTCCTCACTCGCAGTGCGCACAGCTGCTAACTCCATCTCTAACTTCTCCTTTTCCTTTAAGAACTCTTTGTCTAGAAGGAGACAAGAACAAAACCACCTCTATCAAAAAAAAGCTCAGTCTCTGGGCTCACGGCCAGTCTACATCTGGCAAGGATTAAAAATAAAAACGCATGCAAACGGTAAAGGATTGAATTACCGCTATTGCTCTCTCTTAATAGTGGTATGTAAGGTGAGGACTTTCTCAAAAACCACTATTAACTCCAGAGACATTCCAGACTGCAGTTAAGAACTAGCCACCTCATGCTCTCCATAACTCACTTCCCTAGAACATTGACTTCAGTGCTTCAAACAGATCAATCAAATCAACCTTGTATCCACTATCTCATTTTATGCCCCACCTCCTCTGCCTCCATTTTCCAAGTCTGTAAAAGTAATGATATGAATATTGTCATTCACAGAAAAATAAACCAAGTTTTGTTTTGTCTGAGGCCAGACAGTAGAGGGGAGTTTCCAGTCCAGGCCTTAATCTCAAGCTGGATCCTCTTTTCATATGACCTGGCCCCACATTTTCTCCTAGTCCTATTCAAGAGACAAAAGGGACCAATGCTTCACAGTCCTTCAAAGGCAATATAAGTGCCAGTGATTGTGATTCTTTCTGCATGTGTAAGCCAGGCTGGGGTGTCCTCAGTTCCTCTCTCCACCTCCCTCTACAGACTGCTGTTCTAGATTAAGCAGGAGTGTTCACAGAGTCATGGGATGAGCAATTTCTTAAGGGAAAATGTGTTTCTTGTTACCAAAGCAATGTATTTTGTTTTTAAAGTAAACTATATGTCATTTATGGTACAGAAAACTCAATGTGAAAGTAAGGGTCAGGAGTTGGTTAAATAGACGACTGTAAACTCTACAACAGAATAGGATGCAGCCATTAAAATTAAATAAGAGAATCTTGGTGACAGAGAAAAAAACTTCACCGTTGATAAAAGGTGGTTACAAAACCACACGCACATACACTATTCCATATTTACAGAAAATAAGATATATCATTGTAAGAGCAATAATCAGAAATTGATTTTGGTGTGCCCATGTCACATCCTAGCAATCCACCCTGAAGCACAGAGTCCCAGTCTGGGTGCGACACCAGCATGTTAACAGTGGTTGTACTCACTCATTATTCCCTCTTACATGTAGTCATTCATTCATTTAACAAATAAGTATCAGAAATTAAAGAGAAGTACTGTGGACTCTGAAGCAATAGAAAGAATGCTGCAGTAAAGGAGCAGAAAGATGTGGTTTTGAAGACAGGGCATGAAAATTAAAAAGACTAGAAGGCTACAAATATCAGATAATAAATCACAACTTTAGAGCCAGAAGGGACTGTAGGAAACATCAAAATTCAGTTCTATCCCCTTTGCTTTATGGGTAAGGAAAGGAAAGCCCGCTGGGGTGGAACCAGGTCCAGAATTCGGATCTCCCGATGTCCTACTACAACGTCCACTGCACTGCCCTCACACTGTGAAATTATGTGGATGGGATCAGAGGGCCATGGAGCAGCTTCTGCTGAATGAGTAAACTTTTAATCTTAAGTAGTGCCTGTGCTTCCTAGAAACAAAATGAGCCCACCAAGATCCTGACCCCAAATAGCACTGCTTTGGGGCTCTTGGTGCTTTATTGCAGTCACCAACTGCCCTCCTCCTTCCCCTTTCAGTGGTATTTGAAATGCTGCCCATGAAACTTCCTTTCCAATCCAAGGAAAATGGGCATGCAAGAGCCTGAACAAATGGGCCAACAGCTGCCCACCACCCACAGCCCTGAATAGGCCACAGCATTTCATTCTTTCTGTCCAAACTCACTGACATCTGAGCACCAGCTCCCTGGTCAGATAATGTTTCAATGGACAGGGTACCTGCTGGTCTTGTCCAGCCTTGGAGGGCACCCAGGAATTGCTAAGCAGGCACTGCTGGGAATGAACCACTGGATTCCAGGGCCTCTACTTGGTTATTGACCTAAACATAGAAGTTCCTCTCTTTGTTGAGGCTGCTGAGTATACATCAATTTTGATCAGAAGCAGTAAAATGACAGGTGGGACTTATGAACAGGAGCTACAACCAAAATTTCTTGTTCTGAGCAAATTGAGGATTGCAATTATTACCATGACACAATGACAGCTGCCAAGACAGAGTTCTAAATTAACAAATCCCTGCAACACACACGATTCCAGAATTTGCTGTTTCCTTGCTATGTAGTATCATGGAGTGGTTGAAGAATTGAGTTGAACACCAGGAAGACCTGGATTCAAAGCCCAGGCCCACCACTTCCCAATTATGAGGCCCCAGGCAAGGTAATTGGACCTCTCTGAACCTCAGCTCCCTTATCTCCTTGATGGAAATGACAGCATTTGCATCACAGTGTTGTTGTGACACCTCAGTCAGTGTAGACCCATGTAAAGTGCAAAAGACGTGAATATTTTGTATGTTTTATTCTATATTCCCTGGCCCGAAAGAGTGGCTGGCTGAATAATATTGCTGAGTGAGCAAATGAGACTCTCTTATATGCCAAGTTCAATGCCAACTGAACAATAAATTGTAGCTCTTGTTAGCTGTTACACATTCAGCATCCTGTGATATCCCATCAGCCTCGGCTGTACAGCTGTCCACTCTACCTTTGTCCCACTGTTCATGGAGAAGCCACTGCTCATCAGAGGTTTGTACTGACCATGGACTTCCCCAGTTCACTCCCTGCCCAGGCTCCCTGAACCCCACAGTGTGGTGCCAATATTGATTAAACTCCAAAAGTTCTGGAATACTTTGCAGTACATGGGACAAACCATCTCTGTCCTGAGTTTCGTGACTTTGGACTTCATGTTGCAGCTATATCTTTATCGCTCACACTGGCTCAGAGGTATCTGCCCTCTGATAGGAAATAGTAATCTCAATGATCAAGGTTTAAAAACAATGTCCATGACGACAGTGATAATAACAACAATATCTGCTTGTGTTTGTTGAGTGAGTACTGTGTTCCAGGAATGGTTACTTATATCATTCACTTTAATTATTCCCTCGGTATTTCCTTTATTCTGAGTTACTGTATGAGGTAGGCACCATTATTATTCCTATCTTCCAGTTGAGGAAAATGTCACTAAGAATGTATAAGTGACTGTCCCCAAGAAGTGATGCTCATCAATGGGGGAGGCAGAATTTGCATTTGTACCTCTCTAATGCATGCTCACAAGGGCTGCCTTTCCAGAATCACAGAAGCAGGAAACGAGATTAAAATATGTCACAAATTGAAGTATGCCATGGTCAGATCATATTTCCCAAAACCCAGCAATTACATTCATGTGCAGAACCATTTACACACATTAATTAAGCAAGCACTGCATGGAGGCAACACAGAATATGGTTAAAAGCTGGAGTCTAGACTTAGGCCACTTAGGTTCTTATCCAGCTCTACCTTACCACCTATGGTTTTGTGACTTTCAAAGTAAGTGAATCTCTATGTGCCCCATTTCCCTTACTTTTTTGGGGGGTGGGGTACCAGGTATTAATCTCAGGGGCACTTGACCACTGAGCCACATCCCCAGTCCTATTTCATATTTATTTAGAGACAGGGTCTCACTGAGTTGCTTAGCGCCTTGCTTTTGCTGAGGCTGGCTTTGAACTTGCGATCCTCCTGCTTCAGCTTCCCAAGCTGCTGGGATTACAGGCATGCACCACCACGTCTGGCTACATTTTCCTTACTTTTAAAGTCAGGTACACAATAGTACTTACTTCAAAAGGGATAATTAAGTACCCAATAAATGTCAACTAGGATAACAATTTGGTTATTATTGCTGTGCCAGGAAATGTGACATATTCTGGGGCTATACGGTGAGTAAGAGGTGCATTCTGTTCTCAAACAGGCAGGAAGAGGCCAGGACATGGAAAAGTGCTGTGACAAGTTACTCTAATAGATGCATGCAGAGGGTGCTATGAGGAGAGAGAAAAGGTCTAGCTAGGCCTGGGGCAAGGAAAGGGAGCCACAGGTGGGGCAGCTGGGTTCCCTGAGTCTTTCAAGACATGAGAACTCTGAGGTGTACAAGAATTTCTCAAGAGTCATCCTTTGGGAGAAGACAGGAGTGAGTCCCCAGCTCCTAGAAAGGGTCACTGAGTGTTTTTTTTTTTCTTTTCCTTTTTTTGAAGGGTCCTTCAGTTTATTACTATCTAAGTCCAATGGGATGGATCTCAAAAAAGGCCAGACTTGCTGTGAATTTTTGGTCAGGCTCCAACGTATATACTGAGAATTCCTAGAACAGGCAAGTTGACACAAGGGAATTCGTGCCCAGAATGGTCTGTTTGCTCAGTGGATACGAATTACCCAGAACGGTGTGGAGCAGGGTTGTTTAGCCTGATGGCTCTGGGCCCACTGCACAGAGGATGTCTGCTTGTACACTGTTTACTCTCGAAACCACAGCGATGGCACAGGCTCCGAGGCCAGGCCAGCCTGGTTGGATCCTGGCACCTTCGCATACCAGTTGACTCTGGACATGTGACTTCACCTCTCTGAGACTCCATCTCCTCCAAGCAAACTAGGGAGCGAGCGCAGGACTGTTGGGAGGCATAAGAGGGCTATCAGTGAAATGCTTACCAGAAGACCTGGCCCGTAGCGGGTACCTGATAAATAATAACAAGAGCTAACGTATATTCCTGGAAACTTACCAGCAGAACCTTCTCTAATCCCCTATCAGTCCCATTTGACAAAGGAGAAATCTGAAGCAAAACTAACTGTGATACTGCTCCAAGGTCTGTGGCCCCACTTGTAGCTCTCGCTTGAGGAAAGAGCAGAAGTGAATGGAAACCAGAACTGGGCCCCCTAATGTGAGGATGCTCCCTCTCCATCCTACCCTCTTCTTTGCCAGTTCAAAGTGGACAGCCTGCTGACACTGTTTCTGTGACCTCTAGTTGAGCACTGAGCTCCACTGAGGCTAGATGACACAGGCTCATCTAGATGACAGGATGGTGGACTCTAGTAAATTCTGTTGAGAAATGCTGAGGGTGGGGTCTGCCTGGGGGTGGGATGTGTTGCCATCTTCTAA